TGAGGTTTTAGATGTTTGTGTAAGTCTGACCACGTTTGTTCTGTAGAGCTCCTTCTCTTTAGACATCAGCATTGAAACAGAAAGTACACGTTGGTTAATTTGACTGATCCAGGACTCATTTCAATACCACAAGTCCTTCTCCTTATTGGGGAGAGACACATTTCTTGTGTCTGTGACAATTTATGTTCTCTTGAGAGGAAACATAGCAGGCAAAAATCATGCTTGCTCCAATAGTGAGAAACATAACAAAAAAGTGTTAATCCAAAATTTGCTTATTTTGCTTAGTTCTAGATGGCCTCCAAGCATCTAGGAAAGCACAGTAGGAAAAAGGGAGGTTTACGGAGCAGGAGTATATCTTCATTATAAAATTCCTGCCGACCCTTCTCGCCATGGCCATACCCTCCCTGCATCTGTGACAGTCACTCCACTCTGACAAGAATCCCATGCCTGTCCTTTTTTCCTTGGGTACTTACTCTTGAAACTTTGAAAAACTCTGCACCAAAATAGTTGATTCTCAGCAAACAACCTTCAGGTGACAGTCAAATGCTCACTGTAAGTTAATACCCCCTACCACCTGTTAGAGATCTGCACCTGAGGCTAAGAGCAGAGCTCTCACGTAACAAGCCATTGGTCAGTATTGAAAATACATGTTAATTTACATCTAAAAAATGAAACAGGAAGCTGTCCAAAGTTCAAGGAAGAAACAAGTTACAAATCAGGCTTATCAGCACCAGCAACTGAGCTGCTTCTCTAAGCCATTTACTCCATTCCAATTTACCATGTAAAAAGATCCCTGAGAGAAAACAAAACAGAACCCAACAACTCTTAAATCCCTGAAACAGATTGGTCTTTAAAACACAATTTAAGTAAACAAAGTAGACTTGAACTCAGGCAGGGTCAATGTCTCAGATCAAGAGCTCATCAGAAAACCGTGTTGCCTCTCAGACACTAGTGAGAGACAACACGATACTGGCTGTCCAGCCCTGAGTGCACCACCAGGCTCAGCATCCCCTTCCACAGCCTTGGGGGTTTGGCTGCCCGTGCTCACAGCCAGCACTGATGCAGCCTGAGCACGCACATCAGGATCTGGGCAAAGAGCTGCAGGAGAAGCCTCATCTCAGGTCCCTGGTCCTTGCACAAGCCACCCCACGGGGATGCCTGGCCTGTCCATGCACCTTGGTGACCCCAACCCCCTGACTTGACTTCCCAGCCCGGCCTCAGATCTGCCTTGTCGCTGAGGACTTGTCTGGACTCTTGGCTGACCCTGGTCACCATCACCAGACCTGCTCTGCTGTCCTTGTTTAGGCACCATGGGACTGCAACCCTCGTCAGCAAGGCCTCTGCCCGGGCCCCTGGCCTCCCGGCACCCTCGCTCGGTGGCAGGCTCACCTGCCTGGCGGACCCGCTGGCACTTGCTGCTCCCTCACATTAGCTTACTTCAAATATTTCTGAAAAAGTAACTAAGACCCTGCACACCAGCATCATAAACTAAAACTGAAAACAAAACTTACATTCAGCAGTATTTTTTAAAGATAGCACACAGAACAATATTCTGTGATAAGTGATTTTTTTAATTTATTTTTTTTTTCTTTACAAGGAGGGCAAAGGTACAATGGAACTGGTTGCCCAGAGAATTTGTGGCTGCCCCATCAGTGGAAATGCTCAAACTCTGCCTGAATGGGGCTTTGAACAACATGATCTAGGGGGAAGATGTCCTTGCCCATGGCAGGGGTTTGGACTAGATGGTTGCTAAAAGTGCTTTCCAGCTCAAACCATTCTGTGATTCTATGATATTTCAGTTGTCTTCAAGCAAAAAAGATTCACCACCCACCCCAGTGAAACCATCAGCACCATGCAGATGTTTGCAGTTTCTGACCTTCTTGCAAAACAATCATGGGAAGCAGTATTGCCATCTCAGTTTTTCAATTCCTCATCTTGGACTGAGATTAGGACTAGCAGTTGCATGCATCTTTGAGATCTGATAGGAGATTTTCAGCTGTGTGCCAGACCAAAATGCTGGCACTAACCTGTGGTCTTCTCTGTGGCTAGCAACAGTAGGAATGGACGGTAGGCTGGAATTTATTTTCTATTAATAAAAGCCACAAAACATGAGAAGTTCCTTAAAAACTAATCCCCAAGCTAACTGAAAACTTACTTGTTTTCTGAATTCCAGCATTCAGAATGTCAACTTTAAAAACAATTTGTGATGATCAGGCAAACCTCTGAAACATTTTTCGTATTTCTGCAATTGATTCAGTCATCAAAACCAATTGCATGTGTTGTGCGTATTTCATAAGCCTCTTTTTCCTTTTCAGAATAATAGTTCTGCTTGTTACAGAACAAGCAGCACTTTTACAGCTTCATGAATGACCAGTATCTGGAAAATAAGTGAACTGGCAGTTAGATATAAAAATGCTTTAGTCCCTGGTAGAAAATTACATTTTATATTTATTTTGTATTAAGTGAATTATGGAATTTTTTTTCTTGACTCCCACACATGCAGTATTTGCTCCAAAAGGTAAAACAGAGCATTTCTTTCAGCTGCTATGCTGCAAAATTGGTTTTGTTGCTTCTGGTGTTTTTAAGAATCATCTTTATAGTCAAAGAATAGGTATTCAGATATTGAAATTCCAAATGCATTGATATTCTACAAGCAAAAAGAAATTTAAAGTATCACAATATATAACAGGACTTGGAGGAGTTAAGAAAAAAAAAAGAAAACAAAAAAAAATTATCCTCAAGATCTGACAGGGTGATAGCTCTGGTGGATCTTTCTCAATAAAGTGTTGAACCTTCTTCTCTCTTTTTCAAATATTAGATGATACAGAAAGATATTAAAATAATCCAGTATTGTTAGGAAAATCATCTACATTTAATTGTGATGCTCAGTACTCTTACTACATTACTGAATAGATGTCTTTCATACTTTAGTGGACATGGCATTTGATTCTTTCTTTATGAGTCTCATTCAGACTTCCAGTAAGACTCCTGGCTGCCCTCATCAGTGGCGCATGGTGTGAACAATCTTGCAAGGGGTTTGTGACAGTCAAGCTCACCTGACCACAACAGTGGAAATCAGGAGCAGGCATCCCTTAAGGATGTATTTTTCCTCTTCTTTCTCCAGGAAAGGAAAGCAAAGCACTTCCTCTCATGTCCACAGAATATCAGCGAATTAGGCTTTTGGTTCTTATATGCTTTGAATGAAAGACTGGGTTTAGGAACCAACTCAAAACATAAGAAATTAAATTCTCACTCCCTTTAAGAGTGTTCACTGTCTACAGCAGTATTCACACTAATGGTCCTATAACCCTACTGAGACTTGCTAAAGTGCTGGTATTCTAGAATATTTTACACCTAAGTTTAAGAAAGCTTCGGAACCTCCCTTCTGCGTAATGAAAAAGTAACTAGCAGTATAGCTCGGCATTGTGGGGTTTGAGGGTTTTTTTGGACTGCCACTATTCCTAAACAAACAAAACTTCTAGATAACTATCTACATAAGTGCTGAACTCTAATTCTGCAACTACATCCATCTAGCAGGACAGTGATATGCTCCGCTAACAAGGTTGACAGCAATTCCTTTGCCGAGTAGAAGTTAGTAAAGCTGAAATTACAGTCCATTTTGTTGCAGGTTGCTAAATTTACTTCTGTCTGAGCAAAAAATAATAACAAATAGAAATAAAATAAGAGAAGATTCAAGCAAAAATTCATAGTTCTTAAGTTTATATTTAACAGATTAATTTAATGTGAATTTTTAAGAACAAAGTTTAAATAGTTACTGACAGCATTTCAGGAAAAAGGAATGAAACTAAATTGAGTGCAAAATCAGAACAAGCAATTGTGGAACATAAGCAGTGTTTGGGCATAGATCTCCCTGCCTGTTACAAAATTCAAAACTCTAAATGGTCTCCAGACTTTTTGGGGATGACAATGTGTCTCCTTTGAGCCTTCCACAATGCAAGTGCTACAGTGATTTGATGTAGCCATCAAAGCCAGTGCAGATGAATAAAATCTAGTGGAACACAACCATTAAATATGACAACACAGAGTCACAGATGTGAAACCACATTTGTTTTAATGGAGAACTATTACAAAGAATATAAGTAAGTTCTCCTCAGAAAGAGTTCCAATATTCTCTCATATTGTTAGATTTTGATAACGTAGAGGCTTTCTTAACTTGAAAATGCTCAAGAAGGAGTAACACTTAAATACAAAAACACTGTAAGATTCCTGATAAGAAGTCAGTACACCAGAGCAGTAGAAGCTGAATATTGATGATGACAGATTTACACGGAGGAAAACACAGATTTTCAAAAGAGGAAAAAGAAAAGGATGAGTTACAGCAGGACAGCAATAAATTCTTTATCTTCTGCATCCTACATCCTACAAGACTATGAAAGAGCTTGATTCAAGCTGCAAATTTAGCCAGTTCACAGATAAGTACGCTTCAGATTAGTTTTTGAATAACAAAAAGACTTTGCAAACCCTATACTGCTTAATTTTCATCAAACTAAGCAAGAGTCAGATTCTGAGACAGAAAATCTACATTCGCCATGTGACCAGAAATACACAGATGCTTCTTGGCTTCTAATATAAAAAGACTTTGGGGGAAACACTAAAAGGAAGGAACCTGAAAAAAAATCAGTCCTCTAACGACTGCAATAAGATACTCTTTTTCCACAACTCTTATCATAAAGCTAGAAGCCTCAGCTTTAAGCTTTCTTGTTTTTCAAGGACGTAACTTCTCTTTGCTCACAATATGAGAGAAAACCAAGAAACTACATTTTCAATGCTCTTGAATAAGAGTTTATACCTACGTAAATAAAACTTCAGCTATTTAGTCCAAATGATGGGACTAGGACTATGAACTCCTTCAGGAAAAGTAAGAATTCTGATCAATTTTTATCATGGCTTCCCTTAACATTTCATTTGTTCTAAAAATCTCAAAGAAATTTTTACATTTCAAAGATGGTAAGAATCACTTTATAAAGAAGTACACTTACCCACAATAACAAATCCATCTGCTTCTCTGTCTGGCACTGTAACCTTCTTTGAATCTTGACTTTTTCGGAAGAAGCTGAACATAGCCTCTTTTTTTTTTTCTTCTAAGTCGTTATCTAAAATGAAGACAAAACAAGTAAAGTAAATATAAAATAACAGAATCTACCATAAGAAGTTCATACCATGTCAGAGGCCACATACATGATATTACAGATTAATCTTTTTTACCAGATTTGAAATATCAGGCATTTGTATGTCAGACAGATTACCTTGTTGGTGTAGCAATTGACTTCAGTAGGCACAATGAGAGTGTATAAAAGTCTTTTCTATAAAGTTATGAATGGAATGGAACAAATGAAAACAAAACAAAAAAACCCAAACAAACAAACCCAAAAAACCAACTTCAAGCTTTCTAAAGGAAAGTGAAAGAAGGAGACTCCCTTCAGCATTCATCCAACCCATTTCCATATTTTTCTGCTACTTTGAATTGTTGTTACGCAAACTTTCTCATCAGTTCTAAAGCATCTAAGCCCAAAATATGATCCTATAGAAAATGCAGCTTTATAATGCAGGAATACTTGAATGAAGCAAATTGCACTAGAAATTTTCAGTCTTAGGTGTCTATGCATCAATTAAAAAGACCAACCCACCCACCCCTACAATATCAACATCCTATCTATTTTCACTTTTCCAGTTTGTGATCTTAGAGACAACTTAACTCTTGGGTGTATTTGATCAACAGTTACCATGGATTCCCTTAAAAGAAACTGCAACAAAATCATATGTTGGAAATTTTTCATAATGATAATTCATTAAAAGAATCTTCCAAAGCAGCTAAGAACTCTGAGCTCACAACAGCTAGAACACAACAAGGAAACCAGTGGGATAAAAACATTAACTGCAAAAGATTATGCTCAGTATCTCTTCTCTCTCAAGACTGGAAGATTACATAGAACCAATACTGAATAGCTTAAAAAGGACAAATTCATGTTAAAAACCCCATGAACATTAGCCAAAAAATAGGCAGTTGGGCCAGCTTTTACAAAATTAAGTCCTATGAACAAGTCCATAAACACGGACACTTCATGAAACATTCTTCTAAGCAAATTCTCTAATTATTTTGAACTTTAAGATGTAGATTCGAGGAAGTTTCTCTTCTTCCAAGAAAACAGCATGTCCACAGGAGGGCCACAAAGATCATCAGAGGGCTGGAGCACCTCTCCAATGAAGACAGGCTGAGAGAATTGGGGTTATTCAGCCTGGAGAAGAGAAGGCTCTTGGAAGGCCTTATAACAACTTTCCAGTATCTGAAGGGCGCCTGCAAGAAAGCTGGAGAGGGACTTTTTAAAAATGCACGTAGCAATAGGATGAGGGGTAATGGCTTCATACTGGAAGACGGTAGATTTAAATACTAGAATAAAAATTTTCACTCTGAAGGTGATGAGGCCTTGGAATAAATTCCCCAGGGAAGTCGTGGAGGCCCCATCCCTGGAAGTGTTCAAGGCCAGGCCGGATGGGGCTTTGAGCAACCTGGTCTAGTGGGAGGTGTCCCTGCCCATGGCAGAGGGGTTGGAACTAGATGATCTTTAAGGTCCCTTCCAACCCAAATCGTTCTATGATTCTATGAAAAGTTACAAGAAAAGCATTAGAAGGAAGCTCTTGTGAAAAACAACCAACACAACTATACAAAGCATGTATTCGTGCATTCGGCTTATTAAGAGGGCTACCGATGTATCACCACCTACTTTCTATTTTCTACCTAACTGGCACCACTGAATGCAGTAACTGGGAGTCTCCCCAGCCTCCTACTGCAACAGCAGCTCTGTCCGTAGCACTGGGACAATGAGAAAAGGAAAGAGGCACCACAGCAGTAGTCACCCTGAGAAGGTAGGCTTTGCTTTAGCCCCCAAGGGCTGAACTCGAACCACTGGCCAAGGCCAACCAATGGAGCAGCCTGTGGTTTGGCTGCAACACAGCGTGTGTCAAACGTTGGGAGGAAGGTTTAAAGAAAAGTACGTGAAGATCTTCTCTACTAAAATACCAATATAAAATTGGGAAAAGTGGAATAACGTAATTTCAAGTTTGAAGTAGAGTTTGAGCAGCAGAATCCTGATTTACTTTGCAGACACCAACATTTAAAGAAGGGACTGACAAACCAACAGAAATGTCTAATATACACCTCCAACAGAGAAAAGGAATCCAGTCTAAAGAAAAGGGCTGTACAGTGTCAAGTTTCAATAACATCATTTCACGCTAAATTTAACAAAGAAGAATCTAGAAGGTGTGAAAGAGAGAAGAGTGCTACCATATAGTGTTTGGATTTAAAAAAAAAAAAAAAAAAATAGATAAAAATCTTGGATTCATTATTTGCCATAATTCCTCACTTCCCACCCAAATATTCATGGTACCATAGGCAAGAGTTTTTTTGCCCTAGCCAGTTACACGTAGCAATTAACTGCACAATCAACACTGTCTATTCACCAGATATAAACGGCCTCATACTTTGCTGTTACAAGCGATAGCAAACACTTCCACACTCCAGATCACAGAAAGTCCAGTACAAAGTGTAAGCACTGGCTTTCAGAAGCAGTATATAAATAGAATATGGCAAAAGCACCAACGATTCAAACCGTGGCCTGATACCTGAGACTTAAGACTGAATACCCTGCAGGCTGGCCTGCTACTGCTTGCTTATGCTGACGCAGTGCCACATCTAGCAATCAAATAAACTACACTCATGTACACAAGAACAGAACAAACCATGCAGTCCCAGGTATGCAGCAATTAAAAAAAAAATGCTATTTATCTGCACCTCATTCCTTTTTGCTTGTTTTCCTACCTTACCACGTGAAATACTAATATTTCCAGTTCTGTGGAGATTACACAGTAGAAACTCCTAATTACCTCATTTATTCGTTACCTTCCCCCACACCCAGGCTCAACACATGGCGCCAGCAGCATATTCCTTTTTCAGCCCTCAGGGAATAAGTCTTCTCCTGCTACCAATTAGGGTTGTCAGTCCCATAGCTCAAGTGGTAAAAACCTGTGCTGTAATGCTCAAGAGTCAGGTTTCTGCTCCGATGATGTATGAAGGAGAGGCAGTTGTGGAACAGTTTAAAATGCAATTTAACCTTCATCCTAAGTGTGCAACAACAAGAAGCAAAATCAACTTGATGTGTAAAATCTTACAGATAGCTTTGATAAAGGCTCAGGTTCCAGTCAGCCACTTCAGGTGCCAGAGCTGCAGTTGCTCCAATCGCACTTTTTTCTCTTTGAGATCTGCCTTATTGTACAGTCTTCAGCTCTATCACATAGCGTTCCCCTTCCCTTTCTTGCACAAAGAAAAGCATCTTAATCAGTATATACATGGCACAAAAGAGTTGTACAGGAAACCACATATGTCACCTTTTAAATGCTGCATATTTAACATACCTAAACTTCACTGCTTAAAGGACAACAGACATTTCAATTCAGAATAAATTAACAATCAGTACAATTTGATCTAGCCAAATTAATGTTACAAGCACTTTCACATACTAGATTTTCCTTTTGTTGACAGAAGGCAGCCTGAGTGTCCCAATATTTTCTAAAACCCACAAAATTCATTTTATCTACATACACGAGGCTTGATCTTTACTTTGTAGTTTTCAGTTTCTGAAGTAGCTTTAGCTTAATTCAACTGCCAGCAGTATTTTTCAAACAGAAAACAAAACAAAAAAACCCACACATCCTTTTGCTTGAAGCAGAAAACTAAACAAAGCAAACAAAAGTATGCCCTAAGCTCAGGCCTCAAGTTCTTACACTGTTAAAACCACTGGTCCAGCAGTAAGAAAATAGCATTTGTTGTATTTTGTGATTGTGAATGTTTTGGAGGTGGTAAACAATCCACATATTAAAAAGACTAACGTGCTTAGTGAGGCTGTTTCCTTCTCTGGGTGTTCACCACTTAGAAACAAAACTTGTGTTTGTAGATCTCACAGGTCTGCGTACCCAACGTGGAGGAAGGAGCTCACCAACTACTATGTGCAGTACTTCAGTACTTTTGCAGAACACAATATTAAGTTTAAAGTAAATAACAAAGAACAACTAACAAAATAGAAAGGGGGCACAAACAAAAAGTAGAGCTGTATACAGTATGGCACAGGTGAAGGGAAAGCTGTAGACAAGCAATGCTGGGACATTTGTGATATTTGTTCTGGAGAATTTTATCAACTGTGGTACTTCAAAAGTAAACATAAATCTCTCCAGCAACAGGAAATGCAACCACTAAATTACTTGAATTACATGTTAAAAACAGAACAAAGCCCCTGTCCAACAAAGAAACACAGAGTTGAATGGAAACACTCATGCTCTTGAAGATAAGAACACAGTTTAAGCACTTGCAGAATCAGGCTGGAGTTTTACTACTTGTAGATAGGATGAGGTTTCATTTAACAAAAGCTGAGAAAAAATGGTTTCCACCCAAGTTTCATTTCAAAGTAAAAATTAAATTTGAAGTTTGTGGAGCTGGATGCATGGTCACACAGACTAGAGAAAAAAGCACTTAGTTGTGGTTGGTGGTTTTTTTTTTTTAAAGCTGTCAGCACAAAATCACAGAAAATACACCCACCATTCAGAGATAGTACCACGTTCCGGCAGTAATTTCTACTATATAGCACAGCACTTTTCCCTTCCAGATGGGATTAATTTTATTTCTATAGGAGACCTGAAATTGAATTCACTGCCTAAAGATAAAAATCTCCCTTGGTAGGAATATGCAATTCCCTTCTCCTCATGTTTCCCCCTCACCAAAAAGCGAACACAATTTTTTTCTTTCTCCAATCTCAATCGCTGATAGTTAAGAATAATGCTTTTGGCACCACTTCAGTCATTAGCAAGTAACAAACTGTGAACTATAGCAATTCCATAAGGCTGCAAAAAATACTTTGTCTTTCTATGAGGCTCTGAGAATATACGTGGGATTGGACAAAGATGAGTTACAGAGCTACACAAAGGGGTTAATTTATTCCTCCTGCTTTTTGTCAGTCTCCTTTGACAAGAAGTATGGGTGACCTTTAAGCCAAACCAATACCTTAAATCCAATAAAATTTTTCTATACAATGAAGATACTAGCATATTTAGTGTTACTTTTAAGCTTTTTCCTGTGTGTTCACAAGTGACAGGAGGAGAAAGGTAATTTAATATTAAAAACAGCAAAGATGCAGACTAAGATAAAGAGAGGATTCCCAGGAATACTGCAAAGCAGAATTGCAGTGGCACACCGGTAATTACGTAAACGATGCAATGAGGTCAAAACAAGATACAAAACTGACCTTAAAGAAAGAACCAGAATAATTTCACATCTAGCGATATAAGCTATATAATCTATGAAAGGAAAAAGCAGAGACCATCAGAGCAATTCTCTCTTCCATATTAGCATCTGCTGTGATTCACCAATAAAGCAGCAATCAGAAAGAGAGTTAGATGTTTACAGCCCCATACAACCCTGCTTATGACATGAAAACAAACAATTTAAGAGTAAAGAATATGCATGTTGAAAAGATTTCTCTGTGACACCAAAAGAACAGTTTAAAAGGTTTTGGCCTAGTGTAAGTCACTACGTGAAGAAAAAAAATATGACATATCATTTCTTTTATCTGGCATTAACATTAGTCATATTCTTTTAGTTTGTGCTTCTTGAAAACAGAAGAAAGGAAAGTAAGCGTCAAGAGAAACACAAATACCTAAAAAAAAGTATATACATGTAACAAAACACTAACAAAGACTTTTTTTACTTACATAAAATGGGAATATTTAAAGTTTTCATAAAATTTAAGGGAAGCAGAAACACCAAGAACTATGCAAACCGCATTACCATAGTATAAAAACACTTAAAGATGCTGAATCATAAAAAAATCAACAACAATCAAGTCAGACAATAAAAGCATAGGTGACAAAGGCAAAGCCAGGAGTGAAATAACAGTACTCAAACTGATGTCAACTTTCAAAATCCTGAAGAAGACAGAAAATGCTAAAATAGAAATCTAGGTGTTTGTTATATACAATACTCAATAGGTTGAAACCTTGTTTCCCTGCAAACAATTCTCTTTTGACCGCAAACCTTCAACAGCTGCTAAGCACAATACAGAAATATTTCTTTAAGAACTTCCACAATGTGTTTTTCTAATAGCTGACATTGCAGACAAATAGCCCTAGAAGAGCCAATTTACAGTAGTCTGCTGCATCCTGCTCCAACTGTTACATTTATGAGATCTCTCCTTTAAAGTCTCTGAAGATATGCTAAGGAGATGAGGATGTTCTCTTCCAAATAAACTACTGAAAGGGTGAATGGCGTAGTGACACCGAGGAGATGACAACCAGCTAAACCCAACTGAAGATATAACCCCGCAGCACTCTCTTAAAAAAAAATTGGCGAGCTTGTTGAGTTTCCGGAGCCACCACAACACTAACCTAGCCAACCAACAGAAACGTTTGTACTGGTTAGCAAGCTGAACTAACCCACAGCTGGTCAGAAGAGACAGCCAGCACATCAGTGGTGTTGGGATTGCCCTTTTAAAGCCAGGGCAGAATTAGATTTTCTCAAGTATTTCCTGAAACACCAGTCCTGAAACGGAAAGGAAATCACAGAACCGCAGAATGGCTGAGGTTGGAAGGTACCTCTGGAGGTCATCTTGTCCAACCCCCTGCTTAAACAGGGCCCCCTAGAGCTGGTTGCCCAGGACCATTTCCAGACGGCTTTTGAGTATCTCCAAGGATGGAGACTCCACAAGCTCCCTGGGCAACCTCTGCCAGTGCTCAGTCACTTTCACAGAAAAAAAAAAAGTATTCCCTGATGTTCAGAGGGAACTTCCTGTGTTTCAGCTTGTGCCCATCGCCTCTGGTCCTGTCACTGGGCACCACTGAATAAAGGCCGGCTCTGTCCTCTTTGCACCCTCCTTTTCAGGTATTTATATGCATTAATAAGATCCCCCTGAGTCTTCTCTAGGCTAAATAGTCCCAGCTCCTTCAGCCTTTCCTCATATGTAAGATGCTCCAGTCCCGTAATCATTGTTGTGGCCCTTCACTGGACTCTCTCCAGTATGCCCATGTCTCTCTTGTACCCAGAACTTGGACCCAGCACTCCAGCTGTGGCCTCACCAGTGCTGAGCAGAGGGGAAGGATCACCTCCCTCAAGCCACTGGCTACACTACATCTAATGCAGCCCAGGATACCATTAGCCGCCTTTGCCACAAGGGAAATTGGGAGTAACCTCTCCATGCAAGGGGCAGTCATGGAAAACACAGGGAAAAAGACAAGATGCATGGTGAGAGTGCCACATCCAGATGCTTGCTCTGTCTTAAGTCCATCAGTCTCTCTGACCGTGGGGATCAAGTACAAGCTCTTTAATGGTGAAATTAAATTAAATTAAATTAAATTAATAGAACAGCACAGAATAGTACAGCTGGAAGGGACCTACAGTGATCACCTAGTCCAACTGCCTGACCACTTCAGAGCTGACCAAAAGCTAAAGCATGTTAGTAAGGGCATTGTCCAAATGCCTCTTAAATACTGACAGGCACGGGGTATTGACTACTCTGTAGGAAGACTGTTCCAGTGTTTGACCACCCTCTCTGTAAAGAAATGCTTCCTAATGTCCAGTCTAAACCTCCCCTGGTAAAGCTTTGAACCATTCCCATGCGCCCTGTCACTGGATAGCAGGGAGCAGAGATCAGCACCTCCCTCTCCACTTCCCCTCCTCAGGAAGCTGTAGAGAGCAACAAGTCATCCCTCAGCCTCCTTCTCTCCAAACAAGATAAACCCAAAGTCCTCAGCTGCTTCTCACAGGACATTCCTTCCAGCCCTTTCACCAGCTTTGTTGCCCTCCTCTGGACACATTCAAAGACCTGAACATCCTTCTTAAATCACAGTGCACAGAGCTACACACAATACTCAAGCTCAGACAACACCAACACTAAATACAGTGGGATAACCACCGCTTTTGACCAGCTGGTTATACCCAGGATGCCGTTTGCCCTCTTGGCTACCAGGACACACTGGGGACTTACACTGAACTTACTGTCAACCTGCACCCCCAGGCCCCTTCCTGCAGGCCTGCTCTCCGGCCACTCCTCTCCCAGTTTATACTGGCGTCTGTGGAAACGCCTGGGTATCACAGTTGTAACGCGCAACGTGCCGAATGTCAACTCCGGCCTGTAAAACAAGCGATGGTTAACGGAGACCGGTGATGGCAATGCTTGGCTTGGACAGCGGTAACCTGAGGGGAGGGAGTAGTTAAAAGGCGAGGCAAAACGGCGCCAGTAGGGGAAGGAAAATAAGAGGTAATTTAGGAAAAAAGGATTAAATGACAAAATATACATGGGATAGGGCTAGAAGGGGCCGCGGCGGGGAGGCCGGCGGGGGGGGCTGAGCCCCGGGGAAGCCGGGGTTCCCCGGCTTC